AGGCACTATTTGCCTCTGCTGTTACACTAAAACAAGAGCTCTGTGTACACTAGTAAACAGGATCATTCATAAATATACAGTATAATCTTCCTTTGGGAGAGCGATGGCAGAGTGAATGAAAATAGATGATGCTCTCAAATTCTTCCAGAAGATAAATCCAGCGTCTTCTTTGCAAACCGGACTGCGTGGAAAGGAGAGATAACGGGGCCTGACTCTGTCTCTGTGTTTGGAGTGCTGCGCGGCGGATACGGGAAAGGTGTTGGAACGGAGAGTATCGGAGGTGATGGAAGTGGTAGTGTGTGTGTGGGGGATTTTAAGCATAAATCACCACTGTGACAAAGCTCTCCAATAGGCAGATAAGTGCACATTAGTGGTAAGGCAGATCTGTCATCGTCTGTCTCCGAGCTGCCGGTCCCGCCCTCCCCCTGAAACAAACGCTGACTTGGGAGGACTCCAAACTCTGTGCGTCTGTGTGGCACTCAAGTAACGGGGTGTGTGTGACGTGATGCCTAAGTTTGTAAGAGGAAATTTTTCACAGTGTGTGGGCCACCTGTCAAAATAATGTTTGTATAATGCCATTCCTTTTAAGGTAATATACTATGAAACCAGCAAATAATACAAACAGGGCTGCAACTAATCGATTAACCGTTCAGTCTGTGAAATGTCCAAAAATAGCGGGAAAAATTTCCCAGAGCCCAAGGTGACGTCTTAAAATTGCTTTTTTTAGTCCAAGCAACAACACAATATTGAATTTAGAGTGACATAAAACACAGAAAATCCTCTGATTCGAGAAGCTGAAAGCAGAAAATGTAAGTTTTTTTTGTTGAATAATGCCTTAAAAGGTTCATCAATTATCTATATAGTTGCAAAATCATTCTAATTCACTTTAATTAATTGACTAACTGATTACTCGACTAATTAATTCAGCTATAAATGCAACATTAGGCCGAGATCATGTAGTGTTTTACAAATATTAAAAGGCATGCAGCTTTTCCTTTTTTTTGTTTTTTTTTTTTTGGTGTGAATTATATTTGACAGCGGAACATTTTTATAGAATGAATATAATTTCATATTAATTGGGTTATGTCCTAAATCCGGATTTCTACAGGCATCACAACAGTATTCTAATGAGAGGAAGAATGTACAGATAATGAGCCATTAGCTGCAGTCAATATCATCTCCAGAAGGCCTTGAATACTCAGGCAGTGTTACAGAGGGAGGGAGAGATCTGTGCCAAATAAAAGACAAGCTGGAAAGCTCCCCAATCAATGTTATTTTCTCTCTCAGTCCCAGACCAACTGTCTATTCATCTGTTTCTTTCAAATGAAAGGTGTGCTGGTATGTAACACTTACAGTCGAGAGATCTGTCTCTTAATTAAAATGTTACAGATTGTGTTTCGCCCACTGCGCAGACTGAGCATACTGTGTATTGGAAATAATGTTCCCTATAGTGTGTGGTATTGATCAGAGGAGGAAAATAAAGAATGTTTCAGTGAGAAAAAAAGAATCTGTGTAATGCAGCTTTTGGTAGGGGTGTTGCTTTGACTATTGCGAGTAAACCAATGACGAGTACCTCATGGGGGGAAAAAAAAAAAAGAAGAGGAGGCTTTTGTTTGAAAAGCCAATTCCATACTAGGACACAAGCTGGTCTATACAATCCATCAAATACATTGCCTTTGTTTGGATTTTACTTTTAAAGGAGAAAAGAGTATACATTAGCCAGAGTGTACATGTGGTTCTGTACATGCAATCTCATTTTGAATAGAGGCATATGAATAATTTATCTTGCCACAATCCAACTGGGAACGTCCTTGGTATTTACATTTTATCATCAAGGGCACTGGATGAGCCTTCACAGCAATCTAACACATGACACACACTCAGTCCTCGTCCCTTTGCACAATCAAAAGCAACGGATGGGACCAGGAAAATGTTTCTGTAGCTTGGATATATATTTATACACTGACAAAACAAAAGGTTGATGAACATGCTGGATGATGACTAAGCGTGGCGGTCTTTAGATTACAGAGTGGTCACCCACAGTCGTACTGAAGCACAGTGAAAGATGACAGGGCTCCGAGGGACACGCACAGGGACTCACTTCACACAATGGCTCCAATGTTTACAGCAGACAATTTAGTTTCCTTCCAACAATTATGAGGGAAATTGAATCTCAGGAAATGTTCGTTTTCTTGTCCATTAGACCAAACAATAACACTATCCCCAAAGGTTTACAAAAACATCTGTCTTCAAAGGACAGTCCAGAAAATTAATATCAACTGGCTTGAAGGCTATATCAGGACAAAGTAAATCAAATTGAAGCAATCACACGTCTTTTTCTCTCGCTCTTTTTTCCATTTGGTGTAACGTGTAGGAAGATGAAAGTGTGCTGTTAATGCTGAGTATGTGTCTACATTCTTTCTTCACAATAAAACACTGCCAACGTCGTTTCTGTGGTCAAATTAAAAATGGGTGTTTTAGTGCTCTAGGTATTGCACATGCAGCATCAGATTGGTATTCATTTAAAAGACATTAGATATATTTTAATCCTGCTGAAAGCTATTGCAGAAAAAAACAAGTTGTCCTTTACTATGTATATAAAAGGCGCTAGGATCTGCGATCCAAGCGGAAACAAAAGGCTTACCACACTGCTAAGTCACAAAACCTCAAGGATTTAAAGCTGCTATCACTTCAAAATGAACAAACACCAACATTACACCACGACTAAATCTACATTGTTAATATTTTTTATGCCAACTGAGGTTTTTTCTTCCACTAAAACAGGCTTTTTTTTATCATGTAGAAATCAACCTCTTCTGTTAAATATCTTAACAAATTGTAATTTATATGGTTAAAAAGATTACACAATAGACCTTTACACTAACCTTTAGACTAAAACAGGTTTGAGAGAAACAAGAAAAAAATGTGCCCCGTATCCTTCTTCCTTTCTTCCATCTCCCCGTGCCCCTTATTTTCTCAAAGTATCTGTTTGAGAGATAAATGACCACTCTGCTGCTGAGGATGACAGCCTACACAAAGATGATATTGAATTGATTTCAGAAATGTTGCAGAACTGACTGTTTGATGTATACTGCTAGACATGAATCATAAAAATTCTATTAAAAAACCCTTGAATGGCTGACACCAGAATATTATTTGTGATGATTAATTTGACTCAGTCATTACAATGGGAGTCAAGTTGGATCGTCTCAGACAAAATTGCTTTTCATTCCCCGTTGAATTTCCCTGCTATTTTTCTTTTCTTCTTGCTCTGTGCAGAACTCTGATCTGATTGGACTTACTGTGTTAGCACGACAGCGCACAAATATAGAGGCTGTTGGTCTTCTTTATTACCGATCGCTGAGCATTGAGTTTTTTGTTCCAAAATGAGATGTTCAACGTTTGAAACAAAATTACAGCAGCTTTGACAAAATGACAGATCAGAATTTAAATAGTTCACAAAGCTTTATGAAGAATTGCCGGAAACTGAAAACCTCAGTTGACAAGATGTCAACACAGTAAATAAATTCTTCTTCTTACAGTTATATTGTTGTAGAATTAATTCTTTCAATGGATTTGTAATGTTATATTGACATCAACTGTAAACTGTAGTTCCTTTGCACAGAAGGTTTTCATGATTCATCTCTTTGATAGACCAAAGCAGTGGAGGTAGTGTGAGTGTGTATGTAGTGGTCAGTATATCTGACGATAACTGAATTTTGCATAATTCATTTATTTTTGACAGATGAAGCAAATGTTTGCTCGCTGTTATTTTGGGCCAAACGTTTATCCTGGAATCCTCAGCAAGAAAATCAGAATCACATCACTACAGTTCTGATGTATCATTATCTTTTCCTATCAAACACCGTAAGCAACAAGGTGTCGTGATACATGGAAATAATGGATGAGGCGGAGGCAAACACCACGACACAAAATAGTCAAAGCGTATTACTGCACTCATATCGTGGCTTTAACAGCTATCCAGTTCTAAAAGTTTGTTTGTCGTCAGTTTCACTCATTGTTGGTCTGTTTCAACCACGGGAGGTGATGCAGAGGTGCAGTTTGCTTGGTTACTGTCGCTGATTTAACTGTTGACTGGAACGGTTTGATTTTGAGTCAGCCAGAGAACAAGTACTTTTAGTTACCGCGCTACAGTAAGCTGAGCAATGATAAACATCAAGCTGTCCAGATATACAGATATAATGAACATGGAGAAGGTGGAGAACATTTCCTTCCCTAGGTGCATTTCAGAAGTGACAGTTAACTCCAGTATCGACGGTAACAAGAAAAGCGGCTTTGGACGCCACGACTTTGCACTTGATCTAGAACAGTTGTTGTAAGCCATAAATGGACGAGCTTGGAGGTTTCCTGATCTACATCGTTAATAGACCCCTGTCAATCAGAAACAAGCACTTTTTTCTTGTTGGTAAAATATCTGCAGGTTCTCAAAGCTGGAGCTGCTGGTTCCCAAGTATTTTTTACCACTTAAAATTACCATTTCATTTGTTTAAACAATATCCTCCATGTTCCCTGCCATAATTGCAAATTCAATATCCAAAAATTGACCCGGAATCCAAAAGTAAAGTGATTTAAACGGCTGACTGTAATTTTGGATTTCTACTTTAGTTTTTCTTCGCTATTACAGAATACAGCTGAATTTTAAGTTTAGTGGTTGGATGTTTTTTTTCCAAAATGCATTCTTCCTTGTCCTGTGTTTTCGTACCTTTCACATTTTTTTTATCAAAGAACTAGACATTTTGTTATGTCTTTTCTTGTCTTCTGTGATACTGATGATTCAACTGGGAGAGTTTTATGCCCGTCCAAGCCTTGGAAGTGCTCCAGTTACCCAATATGGTCTATGTACGAAATGAGCAGAATTTGGAGCTCACTTTGCAACTCTGCTCCAGTAAACTGAATGCTTTGATCTGCTTATATACATTGCTTCATCAAGCCTAATCTTTCTTACTTTTCATTTTTTTGCTGTCTCTCCCTCCACTCAGAGCTACACAGGTCAGACTGGTGGCGGCGGGGGAGGAGGCGGAGGTGGCGGCACTGCCAGCGGAAATGGAGCCGGGGATGAGGACTACGAGATCCCTCCCATCACTCCACCTAACCACCCCGAGCCTCCTCTTCTTCACCTGATGGAGCACGACTCTACAGGCTACCTCTGCCACTCGCTGCCACACAATGGGCTCATCAACCCGTATTCCTACCCAGAGCTGCCCACACTCATGATGTCTAACATGCTGGCGCAGGACAGCCACCTCGTTTCCAGCCAAATGCCCTCGGTGAGTAGCGTTCGCAGACTCAACCGTTCCATGGGGGCCCTGTGAGCCCTGAGAGCCCAGAAAGCTGGCGTTAAGGAATATTTTTTTCAGTTATGGTCACAAATGTAAACTCAACCCTTTTAGTTTGGTGGTATAATTTGGTCAGCTGCACAGGCTTATACCAAAACTCTAAAGCCTCTATCTTACACCCGGTGCAAAGTGGCGCGTGTCTTTGCTAGTTTCAGACCAACGCAGTTGTGTATTTTCCCACATTGTTTAAATAGTAAATTCACTTGCACCCATCTGAGCGCCCATGGGTGTGTTGGTCTTAAAATAAGGTGTGGTGAAGCGCATTGTTGGCGTATTGCTATCTTGAGGAAAAGCAAAGTGTCAATAGACATGACAATTCACTTGTGTTTGCCTTCATTAAATCCCCTGAAAACACCACCAGGCTACACTGTAACCACACACACCTCTACATACATCAGACTGGTTGATCATAACTCGAAATAACTACACGGAGACGCCCACACAGTCCGTGCTCCTACCACCTTGTGCTTAGCATTTATTATTCAAATTTCAACTGAGGGTGCAAAGTATCAGACCGAGGGTGCAAAAGCATGCATTACACCCCCAGTTTAATATTTTGCACCCGTGTTTGTTTTGTGGAATCCTGCTGTTGCTGTATATAATCTGCCAGCGAGCTTTCACATTGTGCACAAGCAGATCCCAAACATTCTTTCTTACTTACTGGCAAATCCACCATCACAATACCAATCCACCAAGGAGCAGGCATACTTGCCTTTTAAAGGGAATGGGAGATGGCACTCTGATTGGGTTATTGCCCAAAACACACCCATGATTAATTAAGAAACTAAGTACAACCCTTTGTGACCATGCGCCTGGCGCTGCGACTGTCTTTTGCACCTTTAAACTAGCAAAAGCAGCTGTGGACACGTCATAAATGCTCTTGCTCCATGAGCTTTAGACCATTCACTTAGAACGTTAGAATAGAGCCTTAAGACGTAATTTCTTGTATGAGAGATACCCCGCATGACATTGGCCTTGCATGTACACACCCACAAACGCTGAAGCACAAGCTAGGTTTTAATTTAGAGGAAAAAAATATATAATGGTGCACATGAGGCATTGGACAAATTTGACTTTTAAAATGATTTCCAAAGCTTTTTGGACATTGCAAATCATCCAAGAACAGCTATTTGAAGGATCTCCAACCAATAGTAACCACTGATTTCTAATATGAAACACCTTATAAAGGTACATGTAATTTTCAAAACATGAAGACGGGGGGCTAAGTGGGGAACTGAATGATTGCTCAGTGGTCGCCATGTCAGCTCTGATGCATGGAGAAAAGGATTGTGGGTAAATCCATCAGCATCATATCTACCTCGACAGCAAGCATCAGTCAATCTGTCAAGCCTTCAAACATGAATACGCACTGATTACTCCCTCAGCTCCACACAGACCTGCTCCACCGCAAATTAGCATCTCCAAACCATAATTGCATTCATGAGAACTGCAGGAAATAGAGCAGGTTTCTATTACAACAAATGATATATGTAAAGCTTATGCGTGAAACATAATGCATAGGTTGCAATAACCAAAGGCTCTCTAGTTAGCTGTCTTCTTTATGGAACACATGTAGCCCTAAAAGTGTAGTTTAGTATTAAAGTGGTATTGCTATATTTTTTTTTCTATCCTACTCAGTAAAATGTAAATATTGTGTTAGATGTGCACTGAATAGTGCTCCTATAGCATTTGAAATATGGACAGATGTGGATGCTTTTTTATGGGCTGCAGCAGTGAAAATCACTAGGGTGAAGAAAAAGCACATATGGTCAACTATATTAACATATACAAAGATTTTTGTGTTCAGGTTTTGAAGGTCAGAGCTTCTTCATACCTTACTCAATATTGACTGTGATATCATAAGCAGACACAGACATAGCTGCACTGTGCCTTTCAAGTAATTAAATAAACTACCAATGTGCAGTTGATAATACAGTAGACGTGTTTTATATATTGTGCTGTTTTGTGTCGGAGGCATGATCAGGAATGACAAGTGTCAGCAGCGTGTTTTGTGTACTTAAATGAAAAGAACTGAGAATCTGTTATATTCAGTATACATTAAACACATATAGATAGATATCGAGGTCAAGCAGAGTGTATTCTCATGTTCACCATAAACAGAAGAAGAAAGGATAAACAACAGTCAGCAAATAGCCAAAATACGGCTTGATAAAGATCTGAAATATAAACATACCATGTATTATATATAATGTTGGAATATTCCCCCTACATATTGGATTCATGTGTCATTTATCTTGATATCCATTTCACATTTTGGTCATGACCTTTACTGTAGAGACAGTGGTTGATTGGCCAGTCTTTCGCTCAGCAGTCAGGATATTTGTTACTGCTACAGAGGGCCACACTCGGTGGTTTTAATAGATTGAATACTGCAGGTTGTGTGATAAAAATGCATGAGATGTGAAATGCTCAGCTGGCATACAATGGAAATATATTTAAAAGATATACTACAAATGCTGGTGATTGCTGTTCTGACAACTAGTCCTTGGTGGTTTAAAGGGTGTTTTTTTTTTTTTTTTTTGGGGGGGGGGGGGGGGGTAGAAAGTGGAGACACAAAAAGCAAATATATTAAGAAAAAGCTAAAAGAAATGACACCACTGAATAAAAAAACTGCTTTGAAGCAGGTGATCAGTGATTATATTCTGCAAGTAAACCTCCCAAATCTTGATGTTTGAAGCTATTTCAATATTTCAAACAGGCTCTGAGAGAAGCTCCTCGGCAATACAGCAGGTCCTTTTTTTTTTTTTTTTTTTTTTCAGGGCACTGCTTCAACTTTGCCGCGGAAAGCAGCATATAAAGCAAACTCAGAAATTTCTAAATCAAATAGTCTGCCTGGCGAAACTACCAAACCGTAGCAGAGGTTCATTTGTGCTGAGAGCGGAGTGTCTATTAAATCGGTGCCTCACCTTGACACAGTCTGTTGAGCAGAGTAATTAGGCAAACTCTGCAGTTCAAACATGAGATGCTATCATTATGAATACCTCACTTGACATGGCTAGATAAATAACAAGGGTTAATTCTAATTTTAGAATGTTTCGGCAGCTAAAAAATACTTGAGTGCTTTACGTAGATAGAAAGGGGTTTTTTTGTTGTTTTTTTTTTTTGTTTTTTTTTTTGCTGCTGCTGCTGTTGACGTTGTGCTGAATGTGTATGTGTCCAAGTGTGTCTATGTGTTTCTGTGTCTTCACTATAAACAATATCTCTGCTGTTGAAATGGATCCACTACATCTGGAGGTCAGGCCTTATATTCAATCTTGAGCACATTGAAAAAAAAATCCATTAGGGTTCATCTTTCCTGCATCAGCCATTCTATTGTGGTGCTGCAGTGAGATCTGTTTTCATCAGGCAGATTCAATACGTGAGCTGGGCAATGAAAAGAGTGCAATGGAGTTGGATGAAGAGAGGAGGGGTGAGGATGGAGAGAGAGAGGGAGAGAGAGGGAGAGAGAGAGAGAGCGAGAGGAGGGTATTGTGGGGAGGAAAGCAAGAAGAAATTGCAAAGAGGAAAGAGGTAACTCTTATTCAAAATGAGCATATACCTCCAGTTTTCTGTACCTCCTGGATTTCATTATTAGATATCTAAGAGATAATTCAGTTGAGTGAAATAAGGTTATTCTGTCTCAACAAAAGCCTGAGAGCCTCTGGTTTTTAAATGTGTGCCTACGTGATTCAAGCTCGAGGACGTTTGAAAGTACTCCACTGCAGGTGCAACAATATAAACATAAAATAAATAGGGCGATTATATAACAGAAAGGATTTAGAGTAGAGCAGTGTTACAGCGGCAGTTGATCATTCTCAGTGAGCTGTAAGAATAGATAGTGTGTGTTTGGTTTGTGGTGGTGGGTTGAACTGTAGGACTAAATGGTGTTAAGACTGAGTTGTGGGTGTGGAACCTCCTGACTAGTAAGACTCTCACTTAGATGCAAATTAAAGAACAGTTATTAAGAATGGATTTCTATTATATTTTTTTTTCTTGTTATTATCAACAAGATCCATTACAGTGGTGGAAAGTAACTAAGTACATTTACTCAAATACTGTTCTTTGTTATGGCTGGTCACCATTTCATGCTGCTTTATACTCCACTACAACTGAGAAGCAACTATTATACTTTTCATTGCACCACGTTTATTAGATAACTTTTGTTACTTTGCAGTTTCAGATTAATAATTCAAAATATAATCGACAAATAAATTATGACGCATTATTAAATTCACAAGCTACCCAGCAATATATAAAGTACAGTACATGATTCTGAAATGGGCAGTTCTGCATAATAAGCACTTTTACTTTCGGTACATTAAATATATTTAGATGCCAAATGCTTTCGTCGTAAAATTCTGAATGCATGACTTTTTCTTTTACTAGTGAGTATTTCCGATTTCTTCCCTCGTCACTGCAAGCTTGTCACAAACACATAGTTTCATTTTAGAAAAGCTGCATGTGACAAAACTCAAACAGGAGAAAACATTTTTTGGGAGTATAAGTTGGCTTTCTGTTTGGTATTTACAGCAGCAGGATGGTGTACGTGGAAATGACAGTGTCCATGTTCATGGTAATGAAGGAGCACATTAGCCAGAGCATCAATGTGGCTCATTGTTTTTCATAGTTTTTGGACAACAATGGAGGTCTGTGCCACAGAGGGAAAAGCTGTATTAGGCTTTGGCTGCACAGGCAATACTTGTTTGAACTGAATCAATTAGTCGATCAACAGAAAAAAATCTCCTGCTATTGGTTTATGTTTTTAAGCAAAATGCCAAAAAAGTCACTGGTTCTAACTTCTCAAATGTGAACATTTTGCTAGTTTTCTTATGCCACTATGATGGTAAATGGATTAGCTATGTAATCAAGGTCCATGAAGATATCAACTTGGGTGTGAAACTAATAAGCAGATTCATCAGTAATGAGAATTA